GGGCTGGCTTGAAGAGGACAAAGGAGAATTTGAGGGTGCCTGCAATGGTGCTTAGTATCTTGGACTCTTGTATAGTTTCTAAGAAGTCGAAGTCATCAAAGTTGTCGCCATGGTTACTGTGATGCGAGTAATTTCCTTTGTACCTGACATTTTTCTATATCTGTTTATTGTTTTCTTTTTTTTTCTTTTTAACACTATTTTGTCCAAAGGATACTTAAATAAAGAGGCACTAAGGACAAAATATTGCTGAGGCGACGATGTCTGAGTACTTGAAGTTTACATAAAAGAAAGAAAGAATGTCAATGTCCAGGCCTGTTGGGACTACTAATCAGGCCCTTCGAAAGAGCAGCTTTGAAGTCAGATTAGAAAGTTTCTGATGGTTTTCTGGAATATTGACATTGGAAGCAAGTTGTTTTGTTATGACTCTTTGCCTTAAGCATTGCTATTTTATATTTATTTTTTATATTATGCGTGAAGTTCTCTTAGCGTTGCACCTCTGGTGATATAAATCCCTATACCCTACACATGAAATATCAAATCTTAACCTAATATCTCGCCCGTGAATATCAACTGTTTTGGCCACTGGTTCCGCCTACTTTTCAATTTACATAAATTACTCCGCGCAATACATTCGCTTACCCACTCCGTTGACAAACATGGACTTGAATGCCCTCTACAAATACTTTGCTAAGGGCGGGAGACCACTGGTGCCCAGATGAAGAAAAAACACCAGTCTCGCCACAATCTAGTATCCACAGCACCTGTCCCCCCCCCCTCCAAAAAAAGAGAAGAATAATAAAGGAAAGAAAAAGAAGTAAAAAAAACACCCCAAAACAAAGAAAAACAACAACATAAAAACAAAAACCAATACCCCCCCCCCAAAAAAAAAGAACAAATAAGAACCCCCCTGTTCAACAACACCCGAATTCAGATTGTGATGTGATAACTCCAAGTCAACAATAAGTTTCCCTTGTTACGTCCCTTGACTACATTTGTCCTTCCTTGAACAGCTGAGATGAGAAGAGACAGAGGGAAATTACCGGTTTTCCGCTGTCTTTGAGACGCACACGTCTTCCAACGCCGTCAGAGATTTCCACACCGCAAGCATCCCCTGTAGCGAAAAAGAAACAAGAGCAAGTCTATAATATTCTGTTCAGTTGTTGAAGGGTGTAAACTGTCGGTTACCGCCATAAGGCCTTACTTCGCTAGGAAATAGATCAAAGCAGGACCAACACTCAAAAGAAGTAGATGAAGCAGACTGTATAGGAGCGCACATCAACCAACCACAACCTACAATGGATGACGTTCATGTTATAAATAAACTAAATTTCTGAATAAAACGTAGCCGGTTCAAGCAATGCAGATGTGTATACTTTATCATTATATTATGTCTAACAAAATGTACACACACAGACACACAGACACACACACAGACACACACACACACACACACACACA